AGAGAGAGAGAGAGAGAGAGAGAGAGAGAGAGAGAGAGAGAGAGAGAGAGAGAGAGAAGAAAGAAAAAGATAAAAATGCGGCAAATGCTTCTTGCATCTCGCTATGCTTTGTAGCGTTGCTAGGTCGAATTTTTCTGCATGCGAGCGAGAGAGCGCGCGCATAATGCACAAATAAAATATTTTTGTCGCCGTGCGCAACGGCGCAAAGGGTCGCGTTTTCTCCGCGTTGTCCAATGGCGCATCGCGTCATTCCTCGCGCATTAAGCGCAAATTCGATTTTACGTTATTCCTTATTCTCTGTTGCCCTTTCTGTTGCAGCACTGTTTTGCAATATCGTACAGGCGGGAGAATCAACGGCAATACGAGCTGAAAGCGGCCACCGAGACGGACTGCAAAACGTGGATCGACGCGATACGAGAAGCCAGGTAACATAACGGCTGGCGTCGAATCGAAGATCAGGCCGATTAAAACAACGCGCGCGTCGCGCGACCAGATTTATGGAGATTGCGAGCCACTCTCTCTCTCTCTCTCTTTTTCTCTTTCGATCCCGTAAATCACCACGATCATCCCCGATGACCGGCGGCGTTTAAATTCAAAGCTCCAATTAGATACGTGCTAGCGGCCGGTCACGAAAGGCGTTTAATTTCATCTGAAAATCAGGCAAGAAGGGACGAAAGAAAAAAAGGAAGAACGGAAGGAAGAAAGAAAGTAGAAAGTAGATGCAAACGTTCCGCCGCGTCGTCGGTCCCTCAATGAGCTAGTCACATAGCGGAATTAATTTTGCGTGCTCCAGTTGTTCCCTTCTCTTTCATTTCTCTCTTTCTCTCTCTCTCTCTATGTTTCTATCTATTTTACCTCTTTTGCTGGGCTTTGATAGAAAAATTAAATATAATATCGTCGACATATACTGTAGCTTCGCGCTCAAAACTCCCTTTTGGATTTGAATCGACTGCATGCGTGCTCGCGTTAGAGATATTCAATATTCAACGTCGATATTCAACCCGGCGCGAATTAAAATACGATTCTCCGCGATAAAAGCGCGCGATACATATTCCGCCGGCCGGCAGGCCGAGCAAATTATGGACGGCGTTTCGTGCGCTTTTGCACGCGCCACCCAACGCGACGGCAGCCAACAGTGTGTGTGTGTGCGTGTGTGTATGTGTATGTGTGTGCGTACGCGTGTGTGTGGCGGATTTTTCGCGAATTTTATTGACCAGAAGTTATAGCGCGCACGTAAACGCGCGCCACCCGCTGTTCTGTTATCGTGCCTGCCCGTGCTTAGCGATCTCTCGGATTTTTTCTTCTTTCCTTTTTTCCTCCTTTTCCAATAACGAGTAATCTCGAATCACGTAGCGCGGAATTTACGCGCGTTTAATCTTACGGAATGGAGAAGCGGGCGCAGGCGCGAGATAACGCATAATTCCGCAAACGGATAGTGTAGCTCGCGACGCGGCAACGATCGACTTTGTTCCCTCGGTGTCGCTTATTTCACCCGCGCTTTAGTAGACCATGCACCGGCGACGATCTATATTTTGTCTATTATCCGTGAGAGACTCCCTTAATCTCGTTGATGTGCTGATAAATACGTTTACTGGCACCGCATTAACATCGAGCCGTCTCAGCCGGCAGCCCCTATTAATCCCGGGCGCAGTAATTTCCGCACATTATCGTTCGAGTAATCTTCATCATGCTATCAAACGCGTCTTAGTAGACTGCAGACCCGTAGTGTTTATCGAGAAAACACCGATATCGGGTACAAGGGAGCGTGTTATTGACAATGCACATATATCTTGTCTGTTAATTGCGAATCGCGATCATCTGTTCGATGATCGAGGAACTTGCTCCTTCCGTGCGTAGATTGTGCTTTCTCAAAAAAAAGAAGCGCAGCTGCTCTTAGATCCAACCCTTAGATCTATTCAACCCTTTCACAATCCTTTCTACGCATAAGATAATTGTCCATATTACTATGCTTTCCCATTTAAATAAGTCACATAAAAAGGAAACTAGCACAAATCTAAATAACTCACATAAAAAGAAAATTAGCAGAAATAAATAAAGCAAAGTTTTTTTTTAAGATTAAGTTAAAATATTAAACTTATTAAAAAATATTTTTTCTAATTAAATAAGCCATAAAATACTTTTCTATGCCTTATTTAAATACAAAGGCATACTAACAGGTACAGTAATGTGGACAGTTATCCTATGTTCCAAAGAAAAATTCCAAGTCTGCCCTTTTGGTTTTATACACTAAGAAAAAAGAGGTTGAGTTGATAAGTAAAGTATATAAGCTAATAAGACTGCTTTAACGAAGAAAATTGTTCAGGTAAACGCTTAGTCGATTAAACGAACTATATAATTGCTGTGATGAGTCCCTTGATTGTTATTTGATCAACGATATCAATGCGATTTACTGTTACGTAATTTGTTCAAAAGCTGTAATATTTCTGTGGAAGGTGGACGATCGCCCTGATTTTATCGATCCTCAACTGCTTCTCTTTCTCAGCGCATTAATCCTCTGCGTAATTCGTAGATCACTTTAGAGACAGTTAAACAGTCGATAATTCCATTCTTTAGCCTTCGTGTCTTGTGGACAAAATCACGAACGTTAGAGGCTGCAACACGTCTTAAATAGAAAATAGAGACCTTAAATAATGAGGAAAGATGTTGCTCCAATTTTTTCCCACTCATACGTGAGAAGGAAAAAGCGGTACTGCCTAGAAATGGCCAACGAGTTACGTGCCGCGTGAGCGGAAAGCAGCGAGCCGCACGGAGGTTTAATTAAAGTTGATCGTTACTGATGTTGTTGCCTGAACACCGGGAAGTTACAATTTTTATCAATAAATAAATAAATATATAAATACGCGAATTAATTACTTGGAATAAATTACAATTAAAAACATGCAAATGCTCTTAGTAATTAAAAGGCATATTCAAGGGTCGAACGGTTAAAAATGGAAATATCACGTTGCGAAATATATTCTGCGCAATTTTGCGTAATGTCGAGCATTAAGAGCATGGATTCGGGACGGACTGGGAATTAGCTCGTCGACTACGACCGGTGACAAGTGATAAGTGCTAATGCAAACGAGGTACGATGAACAAGTCATTCCGTTTTTTCGTAAACCGGTCAATCTTGCGCGCACCAGCCCCAGCGATCTTGTGATCTTTCCGGCATGAGTTGTCACGTACGTTTCCAAAAACGGTTGCTTACAATTTTTTTCACGTCGCAATCGTGTTTCGTCACGACGATTGTTCCGCTGATGCTCGCAGATGCGTCAAACGTCCTTCTAACGCCGCGCGCCGTGCGACGCACATAATGCCATTACGCGGGGGAAAAATGGCGGTCACACATCTGTATTTTCGCGCTTGACATCACGCGAATTAATAGAGGACGTTTGTATTCCGCGAAAACCATCGGGATCGCGTTTACACTTCATCCCTGTGTGTGTCCTCACGGATCCGTTCCACTCCCCCTTTTTCCTCCTCCTTTCCCTCATCCGTCTAATTAGTCCGAAAATATTCTTCCACGTGACTTCTAATCATTTCTCTCCGTCCAATTAGAGGCCTAATTAGAAGCCTCTTGAATTTCACACGATACCACGATACCCAAGCGAAAAGAACGGCCTCTTTCTAGTTAACAACTGGGACCAGGAATTTTAGTTACTAGCTAGTTTCTGGCCGGATAGGCGATGCTTCCATATGTAGTAACTGGGCGGTAAAATCAGTCGGTTTATGGCCAGGATCATTCTGCAAACTTTTTTTGTTTGGAATATTGTCAAAATTCAATGTCATTCGACTTTCTCTTCACATAGTAAAATATTATATTTCATTCATATTTCACAATATGAAAACGTAAAAACCATCGTGAAACTCGTGTTTCCGAAGGTACAATACAAATTCACTCGTTATTGGTATGGTCGTGGTGTTGTTTTCAATTGTCATTTTTTCTTGTCTAGTGTTTAGTCAATAACTGGTCAGAAAATATTAGCCGGTAGTTGTCGAGACAGAAAAACGGCTTTATTAGACCGAGAAACGGCTCAGCATTTATTTGCCATTTTTTTTGCCCGATTTCTAGTCAAGAGGTACTGTTCAGTATTTTGCCGTTTGGTTTCCGAACAGTTACTGCCTAACACACAAATTCTAGCTAGTGTAAGAAAACTGGCCAGTTTTCGGCTGGTGGCGAGCTTTTCCTGCAAATCCTTCTACTTGGGTAATTACATATCGATTTTGCTCTGCGCCGGGATTCGCGAAATTTAATTCGTTCAATCGGCTCGTTTAATCTCTACTGTCCCCACCATTGACGTCATGTAAAACGGCGCGACTAATATTTCCACGCGGAAAAAGATACCTCGCGTATTTCATAACGCGTACGCGAAAATACACCCTGCCGTCGCTGTCGCGCTGCTCATTTTACACAAGCCGCACTTACACACATTCATGTGCCGGCGAAGTGGCTGCCTCCTCAGATTACCGCTAACGTGCACCGTAATATACATAGATAATGATATCCGTGTTACTTCGGTAATTCCGGCGCGGCACGTGCTCGAAAACACAGGGTTGATACTTCTTCGAATAACTCGTGTCCCGAGACGGCTCGATCGATAACGCGATGATTCCTCCGCGCGATGCGCTCCAAGTTCGTGCGCTTGTTATTTTCACGTAAAATCAAACTGAGGACTAGCCGCCCCGGTAACGCTAACATCTGGATCAAACGGCAATTCGTGTTATGTATACCCGTGTTCGTGGTTTGCAGTTCGTACGCGTGCGATGGAATACGGATATCGTGGAATCATTAAAACTCGAACCAGACCGGGAAAAAATGTTTTATTGTGCCTCAACGAGAAAAACGCAAATTGCAACGATCGGCGCGCTTATCGTATTAAAAATTTGGGAAAATGGGAATTCGCACGGATATTTAACGTTTTCCATGAAAGGGTGGACACGCAGCACACATCCGCAAATGTGAGGTCGAAGCACGGCCTGCGGAAAATGTGCCAATTATTTCGAGTATTAACGGGAATCAAAATAATGTGTACCTCTGCTTTAATACACAATATACACAGGTTGTTTGACGCAAGAATATTCAATATCTCGTGTTTAGATAAAATTGTACACAAAATTCTATCATTTTGCAAAATTGAGGCCACCAATTTTAATTTAATTGAGGCCACGTGAAATTTTCAATTATCTATTAAAGCAGATTAAAGCGAATGAGCACGCGGATGAATTATGACAGCGATACTTGTCAAAATTAAGCTCTGTCAAGTTGAACAAAAAAGTTCTTTGCCATTTTCCAAATAAACGCGTAAATTTTCAGCTATCAATTAAAGAACTTTTGGTGCATTATCGTGCGCGATGTCATTCACCAATCTTCTCGAATTGATAATTCAGAATTCCACGTGGTTATTTGCAAAGTGCCAGAGAACTTTTTTATTCAGTTTGACCTGATTTACAAACACACGAGATATGGGACACTTTTTTGTCAGACAACTTATACAAAACGTGTATGCGTTACACGTATCTTGCGCGACATCATTTCACCCTAACGTCCCTCTCTTCGTGCGCTGAAATAACCTGCTCCCTCGTTGCCTGGTTTCATCACTCGTATCACTTTGCTTTCGGAACCTGTTCGCAGTGGGATTACCGCGCACCCTCCCTTTTTCGCCAAGATTATGCCGACAGGCTGTAGACAGCAAATGTCATGGCTTACACGCGCCAAGGCAGCGAGGTGAAAAACCGCTGATCCATCCATTCGCGGTTAGCCGCGAAATCTGGACGTTTTATTTGTTATGGGCGTAACTCGCTATTCTTTTCCGGAGATAGCCGATACGAGTAATTATATTACGCTTCCGGCCGCGCGGTCGTTCGTCAATTTGGATTCATTTGTTCCGCGCTGAAATTCCGAACTTTGGAGATGTAACTTGAAAAAAAGCAGAACGTAGAAATATGAATGTGTATTTTTTGCTGTTTCGGTACGTCGAGAAATATTCAGAATTTTATGCGAAATTCTATTTCTCAGTCGTGTCTCGTAACTGCGAGCAAAAAAATCATAATATTGCTTCCGCACGAAATTCGCGGAATGTTCATTTCGCGCATTTTTCGTTTTTCTTTCTCTCCCCTTTCCTCTCTTTTCGCTGACGGGATGGATACGATCTCGCGCTTCCTTTGCGATACCGCAACGCTCTCAAATAACACTCTCAAGCCGCGACGTTTCACGAACCCCTATATACGCGCACATACACGCGCTCAAGCTTCGATTCAACCTCCCCTTTCTCTTTGGCTATTGATTCCAGCTTCAACAAATTGTTGCTGCAAAAGGAGGAGCTCGAGCAGAAGCACCTGCACCTGTTGCAAATCGTCGAGAGCGAGAAGACGGCCAAGTGGCAGTACACTCAGCAATGCGAGGAACTGGCGTCGGAGATAAAAAAGCTACGAGCCGAGGTCGGTAGCCATATCGGTCCGTATATCGCCTCGTGGTATTTTCCCAACGATGACAACTCATCGTCGTTCCGCGTGTGCACTTATACTTATTTCCAACAACGATGGTGAAATCACCGTCCGCGCACGAGCGAGTTGTTGGATAACCATGAAAAAAGTTCGCATGATAACATCCACGTCGCTCGTTTTCTTTTTTTTTTTTAATAGTGCGCGTTAAAGGGATGCTAAAGCTGAAAACTTCAAAGGGAATAGTGATATTTTTCTCTGAAGTTTATGTCACTTAGTTGTACTGAATTTAGTTGTACAAATGCTTTTACGCAATGAAAGTACAAATAAATAGAAGCGTTGCTCAATATGCGATGAAAACAAAACAAAATTTTAAGTGTAAAATCTCAAGCTGTTAGTTAGCATAATATTTGCCTAATCCAAAAGTTCCGTAGCTTGTATATACCGAAAGTGTGAATGCTTCAAACAAAAAAAATTTGTAGAACATTACCTGTCTAAATGCAGAAACTTAAGAATATCCAAAAAGTTTGCAGGAAAATTTTTATATATGCGTGGTTAAGTAGTAAAACAAAGCAATACACATTCACGTAAGATCACATAAGTTCTACGAAAAAAAATATGAAGAAGATAGCGTAATTGATGATAATCGTCTTTGCGTTATTGACTTTTTTCGAGTTCGTCATCGATTCCAGAATCCCCTTAAAGGAGATGAATCTCGCGAGGTAGAACCGAGGTAAACGTTTCTATAAATCACTTGAGAATCGCGTCGTTGTGCGCGCCTAATTCCTTCGCGCACCGGGACGCTAAGGGAATTAACTAAGTCGCTCTTTCTCGACGACCAGTCGGGCTGTAATCCGTCCCAGCGCGAAGCACACGCCGCACTGAGAGAGAAAAATGGTTCAGCTAGAATTATCTGTAGCCCCAATAAAAAGTTATTCTTGATTATTCTAACACGAAAACGATAGCAGCATAACATCGATACAAGACCATCATCACTATAGTAGAATTTAAAAAAATTGTTTCTTTCCATAATTTACATAATTTACAATTAGCAGTCGTTTCCCTGTGTAACTTCTGTAACTAGTTACAGATACTAAACATTCTTGCTCAGTGCGACGACAGACACAAGAGCCCAAATTGAAAATGCCGCGTAAGCCACTCGCTCGCGTAACACAAACCCTTACATATTATATCGCGCCACCCTTCTTCGATTCATCCCCCCGCATTAACTTACCCTCCGACGATGAAAGGTTGACGGTCGAATCAGGAATTGATGAAGAATTAATCGGCACTCCCGTCCTTTCCTTTTTCCTCTTTCTCTTTTGCTCTCTCATTACGTATTTATTTATATTCTGTCGTTATATTCTCGACGGATCTTGCCCCGAATTTCGCTTAAGTCTTCTCCCCTCGGCTGGGCTTACAGCGAGCGAGCGAGCGAACGAGCAACAAGCCTCGTGACTAGATTGATATTTGCTTCGATTATTTCCCTCTTTGTGGGATTGCTTGGATTTCGCGACGCTTGTCGTTACAGCTATGCACACTTAAAAAGGAGTTGAGACCCTCCGTGACGCCGACTTATACCAGACCAGTGGTTCAAAGGGCTATGTCTCAAGGCGCTGGAAGTTTGTACGGTGGACCCCAGGAAGGAATGGCTCAAGGACCCGCATTCGGAGGGGCGCCCGCATTACGCAGCATTATGGAAGGTTCCATTGAAATGCAGAAAATCAAGAAAGTCCAGAGTTTCTTCAGGGGCTGGCTGTGCCGTAGGCGTTGGAAGCAGATCGTTGAACAGTACATCAAAAGCCCGCACGCGGAAAGCATGCGCAAGAGGAATAGGTAATTGTTCTCTCTCTCTTTCTCTCTCTCTCTCTCTTTCTTTCTTTCTCTCGCTCTTCCTTCCCTCGAGCATATCCCGATTACATTTAACTTGTTCGCAGACTTCACTTTCTCATTAGAGCGACTCACCGCGGATCGAACTTGATGGCGCGATCGTCGCGATTGAAGTAACTTCAACGAAATTGATATTGCTAGAGTGACATTAGGGAACCTCGTCCCAGACGTTATGTTAAAAGCAGCGTGTTATTACGCCAATCAATAATATTTAATATCCAAACTCATAACGAAACTCATAAAAGAAAGAAAAACTTATGAAAGTTTACTCGTAACTGACGTGAAGAGCAGAGAATTCTTTTTGTATGCCAGCTACGAGATAACTCGTAGTATTTGACAGTCTATGTGTTAACTAACGCGAATTAATGCGAAAATCGAGGAAGCATTGCGAGCGATACGCGAGGGTTCCTCCTTTTCAGCGAGAAAAATTCGACATCGAGTAAAATTCCTTCGCCCAACACGTGGCATGACAATGGAGTTTCGCACGTTAAAGAATCAAATGAATATCGAGGTTCCAGGGTATATTCTTGTTTCACTGATCGCGCTTCCGACCGGCATTTTTCACCGCCATTGGAGGGATTTTTTTAATCAGCTCGCTCCGATAATTCCTTTCATTCTTTATATAATGACGACGTGAAAAAGGCAACGCGGTTATTGGTTTCATTTAATTCGTACCGCAGGACATTGAAAGTGTATACGTGTGTATATATGTCGTCCCGTTTCAGCCTGGTATTTAGAATGGTGGAGGCCGAGGTGGAGTACACGGAACAAATGGAAGTCTTGGTAATCTGTTTTCTGAGGCCTTTCAAGATGGCTGCCAGTTCAAAGAAACCCCCATGTAGTCATGAGGATGTGAATAGCATATTTTTGAATAGCGAGACCGTGCTGTTCCTTCATCAGATCTTCCTGAAGGGTCTCACTTCTCGTATGGAGAGCTGGCCCACTTTAGTTTTAGGTACGAATCCACGGTAAACCTAAGCAATCGATACACGCAAATGACGGTAAAAAAATTGCCCCTCCGATCCTCGATTGATCGAAAATTGAGAAATAATTACCGATATTTCCCCAGAATGTTAAATATTCACTCTAGCTCTATTATTTTACAGTCTCTCTCTCTCTCTCTCTCTTTCTCTCTCTCTCTTTCTCTTGCATGACGTATTAATATGTTAATACGCCCATAAATATATAACGTTATAATATATTAATACACAGATTATATCGATATTACTGCATTAATATTAATACACAAGCGCATTTGTGTATTTTGCATGTGTAAAAATCAAGTTAATGGCTCGCGCGGCTTAACGCGGTCGTGACGTTCTTAATGCACGCAGGTGACTTGTTCGACATGCTGCTACCGATGTTATCGATATATCAAGAGTACGTGCGAAACCACCACTACAGCCTTCAAGTGTTAACCGAATGCAAGCAATCAACCTCGTTCTCGGCATTGCTCAAGAGGTCGGAGCAAAAGACTGCCTGCCAAGGACGATCCCTGGAGACCTTCTTAACGTATCCCATGCATCAGGTAATGGCCTGGGTGACGTTACCTCGCGCAGAGGTCCGCAGAGTCGATTCGATTTATCCACCCGCGGGGTATTAACGTTCCGAGGCGCGTTTCCTCTATTTTCCCGACATGTAACGGCGCGCGTACCTTGTCTATTATCAATATTTCTTATCTAAAAAGACCGAGCAGGTGCACCAAACGAGTTGGATAATATCACTACGCGATAGTTCAACGTGCTCATGTTCGCGTTGATAAAACGTCCGGATATATTTTCGTCATTCCGATCTACTGCGAATTCCGCAGCGCGTAAGGTACACGGACGAAAACGCAAGTATCACCTCGGCCAGCACTGATCGCGCAGATGTCTATGAAAAATTTCTCTTAGTGTTGCCGCTGCCAGAGAATCGCCTTGAAAGACATCTTGTCGCGAGACAAGATCGATTTGTCTTCCGCTCGTATTGTTCTCTCTCTCTCTCTCTCTCTCTCTCTCTCTCTCTCTGTCTCAGAACAAGTTCGTAAAAAACGAAACGGGGAAAAACAGGTAAAGATTATCTCGCCGATACGAGCGCGTCTTCGAGGGCGGTCTATCGAACGAAGGTAGTTTAGAAACTTCCATGAATAATGCATAGGGTCTAAGGATCTTGTCGAGCGATAAGTGGACTCTCTCGGCGGAGCGGAAAATGTACACCGTCCTGCGCCCTTCCGAGACACTACCGCGGCCGAACACCCCCTTAACTCGCCGGTCGAACACGTCCAACAACCGCTGTAAACACAACGAAGGGTATTACTTACGTGCGCTCGGTCATTAACTGGCCTTGTAAACTTCGCGCCGCAGCTTTAAGAGAATTAATTAAGACTCCTGTCGATTGGCCGATGGTATCCGCTCACGCGGCTCTTTCGGGGACTCATTAGCGGGAGTTCCGATTAAAACCGAACGTTCTGCTTCCGCAGATTCCGAGGTACATCATTACCCTGCACGACTTACTGGCGCACACGCCGTACGACCACGTGGAACGCAAGAGCTTGCAGAATGCCAAGCAGCAGTTGGAGGACCTGTCGAGGCAAATGCACGACGAGGTACTCGTAAATCAGTCCAACACGAGCGTCGCCTTTTGTTCTAGTTCTAATTGCTGTTTCGCGCGTTTCTTGTCCCGCAGGTCAGCGAAACCGAAAATCTGAGAAAGAACTTGGCCGTGGAGCGAATGATCGTCGAGGGATGTGACATTTTGTTGGACGTCAATCAGGTCTTCGTCAGACAGGGTGAGTCTGTCAGGGACAACGTTCTTTCTCGTGATCTCTCGCGCGTCCGAGATTTGCTTTGAAGCGCGAGGGCTTCAAACATGCTGAGTTTGAAAATACTGGAATCGTGCAAGTGGAATTAGAGAGAAGCTCGTCTGTCCAAAATCGAAACTGTCAGAATTATTCTACTGGAATATTTTCTATTCAATTCAACGACAAAGAAAACACAATAATGTGCTCAGAAACAATGCAAAAATGGCTGCTCTACAGTTTCTTTGTTCGTAAAAAATCAATTGTGTTTATGGCGCCGTAGAAAGCAGCGTAAGATCAAAAAACTCGGTACGTTCTGTGTCAGAGTCGGTAAAACGGTAAACCGACTGGCACTCGTCCTTCGCGAGCTTATCCTTGGCTGGGAAGCTCGAATCTGAGCTTGATCGCTGTCGGTAAAAGCTCAACGAGCTTTCGCTCTTCATCGTTGGGGATATCGAAGGGAAAAAGCGGAAATACGCGTTGAAGGGCGCAAGCGCGCGTTTCCGGAGAATCAATGACGCGACGTCGATATAGTTTCTTCGTGTAGAATCCTCGTTCTCGCCTGAGTCCTGCGCAATCCGTCCTGCCAGGGCTGAACTAATGTCGTGGACCTGGGTCGAACGAGAAATCTTCCTGTTGATCACTCGTGACACGATTTAACGGCACATTGTGTGTATATTGTGGTGCCTGAAGAAAATCCCATACGACTACGTGCAAATCAAAGCATCGGCTTTTTCAATATCAAGCTGCGACTTGAAGTATCAGAAGACACTCGAAATTCGATAAGAAATTTGATTCGTATTGGAATCTTAAACGCGCAATGTTTAAAAGGACGCGAGACAAACGCGCAATACTGAGAATGAATTTGAATTTGTATGCAGCAGAAATTAGGAATAATAAGTATAATTATAAGTAATATATAATTATGAATAATGGGGGTTTAATTAGGCGGCATCTAAAGTTACGTCTAGAACGTGTCGTTGATCAAGTTTAAAGTAGCGTGCGACTCTGCAAGTAGTTACAGGCCGGCCTGACTGTAACGCGACTCGAAGTGGAAAAATTCCACGCGAGCCGGCCCGATGAACCCCTCGATACGGCCTTGGCGCCCCTCGTGCTGTAGCTCGTACGCTCGACCCCGCATCACATGGTTATCACGTAAACGTTCCTCGCACGGCAGCAGTACAACAGTCCCTCCTGCGGCCGCAAACTACCCTCCTCGTTTGGCCGCTTTTCGCCCGCAGTGAAAAAATCGGCTGAGATACACGGCCGAGGTTTGCGCTCGCGACATAGTTCTCGTCACATTTCGCTCGAGGTAACGACGACAATCGAGAGTCGGGGAGTTTCGGCCAAGGGTTGCTCACGCGGGGGATGTCTGGCGGTGTCGCGGGCCTAGGGGTCGACGAACGAACGAAAACAAGCGGCGGCCAATCCGCGTTGCCATTTTGTCGGCCCGTCAATCCGACGGCGCGTTTCGATGTGCGTGACAAGGGCGACGAGGGTGACGACGACGACGAGGGCGAGGACGAAGGCGAGTGGATTTTCGTGACGTGGTGCGCGAGTTCGATAATACCTGGCTCGATAGCGAGCGAGGTGGGACCAAGCGGTATGTGTGACGCTGGTATCAGGGACCAAGGATAATCAGAAATCTAAGGATCAGAGCCGCAGAGTTTTCGCTCGCACGCAAGAGACCCGCGGAGGACCATTAAATTCGATCGTTTAGTTAAGGTATGCGCGTACATGGCTCTTCGTTTGGCGATATCGGTATGTAATCTTATGGTCGCAGCACTCGTTCAAGAAAAGAACGTGACTGTGATAATGCTAAGGATAAGTCTCGCTCGAGGGAACCGCGATCTGTGTGTTACTAGATTCACGCAAAATTACTCCTCTTTCGCACAGATAATTTCGAGATATATTCCAGTTGAGGATTCTTATATATTTACGTGCGCAATTTTTATATGTGAAATCTTTACATGTGAAATTGAACAAAATCTCTCATTTGCTCTCTTTTGTGAAAAACAATCTCAGAATAAGATTGACCAACTCAAGTCAGCTCAAGGATCATGTTGGCTACGCGTTTTGCTTATTCATTTATTGCGAGAGCAACAATGGCAAGGGAATCACAAAATGTTCCTTTTAGAACATAGAAGAAGTATCTATGTCTTAAAAAGAACATTTTGCGATCCCCTCTTCTCCTATCACTTTCACAATAAACACATGAATCAAAAGTTGGCTGATAAAATCCTTAGGCCAATTTGACTTGCTATTTAATTCTATTAAATAGGATCGAAAATTAGTTGTATTAAAAGATCTCCCTTATTCAATTTCATTTTCTCACGTCACGTATTATTTGAGGTCTTCCAAGAATTCGCGTGCCGGACGTGTCTGACCTAATCTGTCTTTATATCACTGGGAGAGGAAGCTAATCGGTCTAGAGCTCGGTGAGAGATCGATTAACGGAGGGAGAGGTCAAGACCGGCATGGTCTCGGCGAGTTCGGACCTCGACTCGCAGTCCCAGGTGTATATACCACTCCGCGTGTGTAACGTGGGAAGTCGATTTCGGTGGAATCGACGTCGTGTCAACGTCAGCGACGCGATATCATATCCTGGATATCGTGCGCGCGGATGCATCGCGAGTCACTCGCGCGTTCCGTCTCGTCGCTCGGCATGCCACCTTCGCCGTGTTATTTTTAAGTGCGCGTCGCAGGGCGGCCTCTCCTAATTGTATCGATTATTTTGAGAAAGCGCGGGTCACCGGTATCGAAGCTGACACGCGACAGGCGCAGGTCGCCGGTTATTTTTACCGGTGCGCCGTTATTTCCCGCGGCTTCTCCGACGGCGCATTAATAACCGGACGCGAGTGTCGATCGGTATCGGCGGGTACGGCCCGCACGGCACGAACGACCCGCTCGCGTATAAATTCGCAAGTGTAATCCCGCTCGTGTTTCAGGTTCGCTCGTGCAACTCGTGGATAAACCGCGCGGGGCACGAAGCAGGCTGAGCGCTACCTTCGGTGGCAAAGCCGCGAGTGACAAGGAGGCAGTCAGACAGTGCTTCCTCTTCTCAAATCACCTGCTGCTGACGACCCGCCAGTCCGACGACGACGGTCGCCTGAATTTGGTCCCGCAAATCGGCAAGATACCCTTGTCCGACGCGGTGCTGGTCGAGGACCCGAGCGATCAGTCCGCCACGGACGACGATGGTACTTATCTATTTGACAATGATCATCGCGCTCTTTTTCTCTCACTCTCTCTTTCTTCCTTTCTCTTTCTCTCTCTCTCTCATTTACTCACTTTCTTCCCGCGCAATTTCCTCGAGTTAATGCTACACAAATGATCGATTTAATACGTTTAATACATTGCCGCATTGATTTTCGTGAATTTTAGAAGAAACGCGTTTCATTGTCTCTCTCTCTCTTTCTTTTTTCTCTCTCTTTTTCTCTCTCTTTCTCTTTCTCTTTTATTGACCGTACACAATCGATTGTGCAATATAATTAATTATATTTCATACGCAACTTAATGAGATGCGGTAGCATCGTGGTGCCGATCACCAGTGACTGTCACCGCCTTTCAGCATATTTAGGAATATGGAATATCGAGTAAGGGGACAGGAGATGGTAAACTTTGTGGGTTATTTCACGGCTCTTCGTATTTTGTGTCGCTTTTTCTCATTATCGTGCACTACTTTATACGTAACAAAAGGGATTTTCATTTGTAAGAGGTTGTCTCTTGTGGCGGGACGTCGTAAAAACAAGTAGAATTCAATCGCGAAATTGATCGATCAATTGACTCGAGTGCCGCGGAGTAGCGACTGTGAACTGATTTTAGAACTGTCAGTATGTTCGATGTCAAGCGGCATCAGCGAGAGCAGTGGAAGCGGAAGCGGTAGCGCGACCTCCCAGTTACAGAATCGCGACTTCAAGATCATACTCGACGTAAAGCCTGGCGGGCTTCAGGTGACTGTGCATCTCGTGGCGCCTACTATGCAGGTGAGTCGTGAAGTCAAGGACTCGATAAAGTGATATCCAATTGGCCATAGTTATGCAAGAATAAACCGACTCACAAAATTATGATTCTTGAGTCTTTGTTATCAATAGGTGGCCCATATGTCTTTCTATCTACATCTTCATTTTTCTCAAAACTGTATGTGAGTTGGATCATTTTTGCATAACTGTAACCAACTGAGAGATACGAGTGAACATGTCGTGGTTAATTAAAAATATTCAACGACGCGACGATATTTCCCGCAGGAGAAAGCCGCTTGGGTTAGCGACATCAGTCAGTGCATGGACAACGTTCACTTCAACGACCTGCTCCACGGATCGGACACTAGTTCCGTCACGATGCCGCAGTCAATCAGAAACGATCCGAAACTCTTCAAGGATGACGTAGACATACGGTTCAGCCGTACCTTGAACTCCTGCAAGGTACCGCAGATCCGTTCCGCCACGCCGGAACGTCTGCTACAGCGTTTGACCGACCTGCGGTTCCTCAGCATCGACTTTCTCAACACATTTCTGCTGACGTACCGGGTGTTCACCGACGGCGTCACGGTGTTGGAGGCTCTCAAGAAAGTGTTCTACGAGGCTGAACCGCCGGACGCATCGATGCCCACCGGGTCGCTTGTGTGAGTAAAACGAATGTTAGTCTCATTTGCGAGGACAAACAATTCGCTCCGATTTCGAGGACTGAAATTCGCGGAATTGTACTCAAATACTCTATCTGCGGACGAGTATGTAAGTTGTATGACAATGCATGTACACACAAGACTGATTATTGAAACTAAGAAAAAAGATAGATGGAGTATCGAGAGAATCAAATATTGAATAATTCTGAAACAAGTTCTTCTTTAACCCCAAAGTACAGAACATAGGTTAGTCTCAGAGGCGAAATTTTGTTTGCTCCCTAAATAAAATAAAAATAGAGGTGGATAATCCGAGATGGAGCAAAGAGAAGCTTGAGTTTTCCGTCATCGATCACGTAGACATCTGTAGTGCTATACGTTCTTAAAGTTTGCTAGAGTTCTGAACCCATGGCGTGTACTTGTGAGAGTTTTATTAGATAATAAGAAGAACACATTTCTAATTTTTTTAGTATCGCGGATCTGCTCTCGATGTAAGTGCACGACCCAAATAATTTATCGCATGTGCCTTCATTTTATATAGAATTCATTTATCATTGAACGCGATCATTGAACGCCAAAAAATAGAAGGTATCATGCTATTTGAAAGAAAAATCGCTTATAACTGTTATATATAAAATACCATTGATTAAGTATAAGAAACCGTGTTCTTCTAAATCTTTCTTTCAGATCTCTGGACGTGTTAGGAGCATCCGCGGGCGAGACTCAATTGCATTCGGAAGACCGAAGGAGAAGTAGCTTCTCCCCAAGACGGACCAGCGGCGCGAGTTCAGTATCAGGTACATTTAGTTTCGTTTCACCAATGATATTCAGAGTTATATTAATCCTTACCGTATACCGTCAGGCATCGTTAGGCTCAATTTGAGTTGTTCTTTCTTGAGCAGTTTTAATCGGAGTTCCTCAAGTCACCATCCGCTATTTGCAGGGAGCAAGTGAATGAGACAGAAGCTTCATTTTTTAGTCTTAGAGTTTCTTTCTCACTCCCACTCACTCATATTATTCCTGAAAATGGCGGACAAAATGTGAACTAATCAGGAATCATCATTTGTCCTGACTAGAGGAATTATTTCTACTACTTTTAATTATTTGTGAGGATCAATATTTCATTTATTTCTCAGAGAACTTCTCCAAAGAACAAAGAGAAAATCTGCTCATTCTTTAAGGTAGAATAAAGGAAATCCATTTCTAGATATAGCTTCCGGAATGGAGCCGTGTCTTGAATCAGCGATATGCTATCAGCGATCAGCGATATTCAAGACACGGCTCCATTCCGGAAGCTATATCTAGACATTATATCAATGGCCGTGAAAGCCTCAAATCTAGTATTAAAAGGAAATCAATTCTTCAATTCAATTCTTCAATTGAATTAATGCTATGGTAATCTGAGGGTCGATCACTTGTCGTCGATTATCGCTAATTAATGTTCGTTCGATGTGTTTTGTGCAGGATACGGATCAGAAGCCGACTGTCGTGAAGCTAGGCCTCACGGGTCTTCCGACGCGGGTGGACTGAATTCGAAGGGTCATTGGCGATCTGGTTACAAAAAGTGTGAGTATTTCTCGAGAATATATCGCGCATCGTGATATTATCGACGTAACGACTCGATCGACATTCGCGCGCGTTACACCAGAGGTGTGATTTAAAAAATGACATGTCTGTCGCGTTTAGTGGAGGAAGAACAGTCGCTTGGTCTGATCTCCGAGACCCCGATCATCACACGTAGCCCTACGTCGCAGACGTCGAGCTCATCCACAGCGTCGCAATCCCCGATCACGCCGCGTAAGATCAGTATTCGCGTGGACAAGGACTCCGAGAACGACGGGTGTCATCTAACGATACCGAAAGTGATCGCTGTGTCGTCCAGTTCTGAGACACTAACAGGTACGATTGAGAATCGATATCCGCGTCTATAATATTCCGCGAAACTTAGCGAAAAATTCCCGGCCGTGTGATCAAGTTAATATAAAGCTAAACTGAATACGTCGAGAGACGGAAGATTCCTTTTCACCAGTTGCATTTGCAACATCTCACGAAATTGAAATTGGACGATGAGATATATAACATCCGAATAAAATATAAGTAAAATAATAATATACAAAAAATTCTAATATAGTTGCGAAGGACTCGGTTTGACTTTTACTACCTGCTGTTTCAATATTTGTCGGTTGGTGTGAAACACCCTGTATTATATATGATAAGAAAATATAAAAAATAAAATCTGAGACTTTTACAAATCTCATTTCCTACTAATCCGCGAGATTTTAGTATCGCCAATATATGAGCGATTTGGAAAATAAGATATTACAGTAATCAGCGCGCCATCCTCGCCGAGCAACTTGAGCTCCGTGACGCTAATCGGCTCAACGGGATCTGGATCCGGATCCGGATCGGATCCGAGTCCTCAGGAGGCAGGGACTTACTCCCGCGGTATCTCAGAAGAGACAGACACGCCCGTGGCGACGGAAGACAGCTTGAGAGGTACGATTTTTAACTCCAAGAACGAAATTGAACCGCGGAGGGGAAGGGAAAGAAAGAAAAAAGGAACAAGAAGCTGACCAAGCACCGCATGCTAAACAAATGTTGCAGAAATACAATTTACTTATGACACGCCGACGCAGTCGATCGATAAGCCGGACACACCGACGAAAACGCCGACCTCGCCAGCGAGCGGAGGTGTCGAAACGAGCAAAGAGGGCCGAGCCACTTCGGACGACGAGGACAGCGAATCCTCATCTCGACAAGCCAGTCAAGCGGCCAGTCAGACGAGCCAACAATACCCGGAGCACAGAGCATCGATCGCCTCCGCTCCGCCGTGCACCACCACCAGGAGAGGCTCGATCTCCACCATAACCGGAGTATGTGTGACAATAGAACGAAAGCAAGAGCTCTAATATTGTGGAAAGACTTGACGAACTAAGTCGACAAATTCTGCCCTGTTATTTTCGCTAGCTCGCTCGCTCGTTCTTTCGTCGCGGATGCGCATGGTCGTCCGCGACGACGTACCGTACGAATTCGCGTCCGTAATTTCGCGATCGTTCTTGCAGAATTATTGGGCGAGCCGGCGATCGATGCAGGAGGAGATCTCCTCGCAGCAGGGTAGCTATCAGCACGACGCTCAACAGGTCTCCGGCAAAGCCGGCGTGGTGATCACGAGCTTTCGCCAGAGTCACCGAAGGTACGTCTCAACGATTTTGATCGCGGCCTCCCGCCGCGTTACGTATCGTGTCCCTCGGAGACGTGTTCGTGTATCGATAAAAATTATCTCTATTTCGTTCCTCGGTATCTATCGTCGCTGAATGTTGAGCGCCGTAAACGGCGATTTCTGCTTACTAACGCATGAGAGCTTTTACTATATCATGTGTCATTTTTCTCAGACTTGTAATTACTTGAATTACTTTTAGAGGAAATGATAGGGGTACCTCTCAGGGAGAGAGAGGGACAGAGAAAGAGACAGAAAAACAAAGATAGCGATGTCGCGTAGAGCATTCAGTATCTTTCGATATTTTATAATTCGTAAGATAGTAGATTCCTATTTGTCTTTGTAATGGAACATGTGCATCTTTAAAATGTAAATTCCTTACTCTGCAAAAAGATTTGTTTCTGCAAGGTTCAGTCTGACGCAAGAGTTTTACGTGGCCTACATAGTAAAATATCGTATTTTTTTACTTGCATACGTATATATATATATATATATATATATATATATATATATATATATATATATATTTTTTTTTAAAGAGAATTATAAATATACTGTAAATAAGTTTAAATTATATCTCTGTTCTCACGCTCTGAAACCATCTTAGAAATAATTTAGAGCATTTCTCTCACTAACAATACATGTCCTTCTCTCTCTTCTGAATAACTTGTAAATATTCTTCTGAATAACTTGTAAATATTCTTATTACTCTATTCTACTCTCTTATTTCTCGTATCTCACTCGTTTACGACATGATGATAGAGCGGCATAAAATCGAGATGCGAAAAATTGCCACCCAAACTAACTTTTGTTCCATATCGTCCGTCTAATTATATATATATATATATACTCTCTTATATATACATATTTATATATACATATAATTCTTGTCGCCACCTTCGAGACTGAAGTAGTCCCTTTAATCAGGAAATTACTTCCGGTGCCGTTTCTACTCAACTATATTTCATGTATTGTTTTGTGTCATTCATAGCATTGGACCTGAACCTATCTGGTAAGTGGTAAAGCTCATTTTGAAGACATCATTATCCACTTGTTGCTTGCGGCATGGCGACGAAACCTCGCTCCTTCGCTTGTGATTTAAACAACACTCGACAACGTGTTCTGCCCTGTGCTCTCTGTGTACTACATGATCTGCTCTCTATTGCTCGTCTATCATTCTCGCGATTCTCACACGTGACGTTTGCCTTCTCCTCCGCCCCCGCCCCTGTGTTCCTCTTCGCTCATGTCCCTTCGATCGATTGATTTCGTTCACTCTCACATGACATCTCATCTGGTCTTACTACTTTGAACGCCTGATAGAATGCACCATAGCGAAGAAGAGTGTGAATGGACCAAACGAAATAGAAATAGTTTTTACCCGATAGAGCCGCCTTTGTGACACTTGACGTGCGTGCTTTATTAGTGCTGAATATATTCCAAGAAGGCAGGATTGCGACCGGTGTAATTTGCGAAGTGAGTTCGAATATCGATTCCCCGCGCGATCTTATGCTCGTCAAAGGCGAAGGAAGCGACGATTTGCGCGTCGGACGCACGTTGCCTCTCCATCGCCATCGTCGTCGTCGTTTCGCGCCCGCACGGCATCATGACTGAACTCGTCGGAATTATGCCAGTTTCAATCCTCGTTCCAAAAACACATATTTATTATTATACTTCGTAGCGAACACGATAGTGCGAGAATAGCAAGTAGAAGGTATCTTACACCGCTGAGACTCTTATTGCCAATGTTCTAGAACTTTAGCGAATCGAGATGCACATTAGACATTACTCGCTTCAGTTTCGCTCGCGGGAAAGACTCAAGGGCGATGCAACGTAGAGCGTAGAGCGAACGCGTAGACCGATGTGGTATAACCGAGACGAAAGACTCTCTCGAGCCACTGAGTTTCCGACTTTTATTCACGAACGCGCGGTCACCCCTTCGATATCTTCAACTTAAGTCAGTTCTCCCCTCGAATGCAGGAGCAGCACGTCCACGGCCGCGGCCGCGTTCGCAATCGCGACCTCCGCCTCGAGCAATCCACCCGACAAGGGACCTGGCACCGCAAACGACGGCAACAATCGCAGCGGCTCGTGCCGCGACAAGAACAGGCGGAAGGAATCGGTGATGTCGACCGCGGCGACGATGAGAGTGCTCAATGTCTTGCGGCACTGGGTGTCCAAGCACCCGCAGGACTTTGAGCTCGATCAGAAGCTCAAGAACCTGACGATAGAGTTCCTGGAGGACATCATTTACAGTCCCAACCTGCTCCCGGCTGAACACAAGGCAGCCAGCCAACTACTCAGACTGATCACCAAGGAAGAGCTCGAAAGCAGCAAGATCGACTTGGACAAATTGCTGGCGCCGCCGACGGTAAGCGACGAGGGATTATCATTCCTACTTCTATTGTTTATTCTATATCTTATTCTGTATTTCTAGAGGGCAGAGAAAATACGATAACAATTGAATATTTCATTCCAAGATATGCGCGCAACCCTCGGTATGAAATGATAATTGTAAGACAGAATATGTTTTACAAAAAAAAAAGAAAAAGATATGTTTTCTTTTTATTCTTGAAAAGAGATCTCTAAGAAAGAATGACAATGAAATATATCAACCCCTACAAATAGTTAAGATCTCCTAACTCTATAAAGCTTTAAGAGTCCTAAGAAGAAACTCAAAATTTAAAATTAAGTCAAACAGAGCCTGATAGTCCACTGAAAGATAAAGAAAGTATAAAGAAAGATAAAGAAAGTACTTTGATATCTCAGGTTGGAATTTTCCAATTTCTCATTGAAGGGACAATGCAATTGAAATATTTGAGATTTTTCCGAATCGATCACTGACTACGTGTGAATTCCATTTAGGTTCAGAGCAAAGAGAGCATCGAGACACTATCAGCGCTCGAGATCGCGGAGCAGATGACGTATTTAGACCATCAGATATTCGTGTCCATCGCCAGCGAGTAAGTAACGAGCCACTGACTTCTATCACGCAGTATTTTAGTTACATAATAATTCGTTTCTCGCAGAGAATTCCTCGGACAAGCGTGGATGAAGACAGACAAAGGAACCCGCGCGCGTCACATCCTCCTGATGACGAAGAGATTCAATGAGGTGTCGGAATTAGTGGTATCTGAGATTATTCGACGGTCCAACATGTCGGCCAGGGTGGCGGCTATCGAGAAGTGGACCGCGGTCGCCGATATCAGCAGAGTGCTGCACAATTACAACGGCGTGTTGCAAATTTGCGCGGCGTTCACGAACAGCAGCGTGTACAGGCTGAAGAAGACTTGGGAAAAGGTGCCCAAGACGGTAAGCCGATTTTTTAGAACGCCGCTAAGCCAACTGCCGATTCATTGCTGAGGCTATTTATCGTCGAGCATCAATTCACGCGATCTTACTTGGATGTTGTGCAAGTTCATAAGGATTTTCACGAAAACTTCAAAGACAAAATACTTTCACAATAACGCATAACTTGGTTCATTTTTTCATTTTTTCGATGATAGATCATCGGAAAAAATTGAGTTACGTCTAATTGTAAAAGTGTTGGCTTTCTGTAAAGATCTCTATGAACTTATATCGAACGACCCGATATATTATAATTCTCCGTTATGTTAAAATGAAGAACAGTTGTGCGCAATTCTATCATGACTGTTGTTAATTTTCAGACGAAGCAGACGATAGAGAGACTGCAGCACATTGTCTCGTCTGACGGACGTTTCAGAAATTTGCGGGACGCCCTGCATCGCTGCGATCCACCCTGCATCCCTTACTTAGGTCTCTACCTCACTGATCTCTCCTTCATCGAGGAGGGTACTCCGAACTTAACCGAGGACGGTCTCCTAAATTTCTCCAAGATGCGAATGGTGAATTTCTCGCGTGATTCTTACTATTTGTATTACACGGAAAAGAAAGTTTGATTGGATTAAGCGAATTTCTGGTAAATTAAAAAAAACGAATAAAAAATTTCGGTCGAGCAAGATTTCTGGTTAACTTAAACAGAATTCGGATAACTTCAGTCGGAATTTCTTGATTCGTTCATATTTCATCAGAAATTGATGAATTTAACCAAACTTTTTTTCCCGCGCATTATTACTTTTCTTCGCGTTTCTTCACAAGACTGACTTCTTGCTTATTCGCTACAGATCGCTCATGTAATCCGCGAGATACGGCACTTCCAGCAAACGCCGTACAAGATCGAATTGATCACGAAAGTGAGCAACTACCTGCTGGATACATCGCTTTTATTAAATGAGAAGGATCTGTATCGCATGTCCTTGGAGATCGAGCCCAGAACATCCAGATTGAGCAACTCGACTATAATCGGTCTGCCACCCACGGTAAACCAAGCGTCCATGAAGTAAGTTCGTTTCGTCACCCTGAGTGAGCGAGTGAACGAACGAACGAAAAGAGAACGAAATGTTATTACGAGAAAATATTTTGCATTTTTGTACGTTCCTGATTATTTCGTTATCATTGTTGTAAAGTTGCACAGGTGGAAATTAGAGGAGAAAGTAATAAGTTTTTGACGATACTCGATGATAAAACAGCTGTATTTGTTCTTCTCTCTCTTTCTCTTTCTCTTTCTCTCTCTCCGATCATACATATTCACTTCTCCCTCAGTCTACGTATTCGCTTTATCTTCTCGCTCGTCAGTTGACGGTTGACAGTTGATGAGAAGAAAGCTTTCAGATCGAAAAGTAGTAAATATCCGTCGCACGCGCGACCGATTATTCAATTACGAACGCGATTCGCCGTGTTTACAGCCCCGTCCATTCTTTCTGTCCACTTCAGTTGCGTTGTCGGCTTGTGACGCGATCTTCAACGTTCCCTTTCGTTGTCGTTTTTGCGTCTACGCTTCGCGAGATATTTACATAAGCTCCTAGACAAGTAAGGTCAACGAGGATCTCGTCGTCGCAAAGAATCGGTCAGCCTCTTTCGCGGAAAGAAGAACTTGTCGTGTTCGTTCTGAGACAAATGTATATAATCGCAATAAATGCAATGAAATTTCAAGCAAATCTTCTCTAGATTGCTGCAACTGCTGCCTGTTGTATTTCGATTATTTCATGATCGTTGTTTTTATCACTTTTAGGAAGTTTTTGTGGACATTTTGCAACATTTAGCTATAACTATGCAAGAATAATCCAACCTATGAGATTATGATTTTTGAGTTTTACCAACAAGTAATCCATACGTCTTTCTAGATAACAAAAATAAGAAAAGATCTAAGTCTTATGGGCTATCATTAAAAAACAGTTTTTATTTTCTACTGTTGTAGTTGCGTCATTTGTTACTAATTGTGTCTTCTTTACTCTTTTTTAAGCTTGTCAATGAATATTTCGATCAATAAGAACCTTAGTGCTATCCATATTTTTTAAATCATATATCAAATGTTCATCTTTATTTTTCTTGAAACGTACTTCATATAGGTTAGATTATTCTTGCATAATTGTACGGTTTGTCGTAGTAACGTAATAATAACATTTGACGATAAAACGAATACGTAGACTGAAGAAGAAGTAAATATGTGTGATTGGGGAGAGAGAAAGAGAGAGAAAAAGATAAGAACAAAGATAATACAACTATTTTATCATCGAGTATCGTCAAAAACTTATTACTTTCTCCTCTAATTTTCACTTGCAACTTTGCAACAATGATAACGAAATAATTAGGAAAGAACAGAAGCGCATAATATTTTCTCGTAATAACGTAATATATTTCTCTCCTTGTACATCTTGAATATCGTTATCTTGTGTGTCGCGTGTATCGTGCTGATAAAAATAAGAGGAAAAAGAGATATTATAGAACATAATTCGGAGCTCGGTAATGTGGGTTGGGGTTTTATCTATTCTCTGATAAATTGTGCGCAATGCGTGTCGTCGCGAACATTCCGAATTTTTTACCAGATGGAAACTACTGTGTTAAACACCGACGTGATAATCGTTGGCGAGGGCGCAAAGTCACCGTCGCTGATTTTCATTTAGTGCAGCTCAATCGAGCCAGTATTACTATGCGAGGCGTGCAACTCAAATAGTTCCAATGAGTACCTTTAAGACAACAAATGAGAAGCGTGGGAGTCGAGTGAAGGTCTTGACAATCAGTAGAGTAAAGATATTACTGTTTTTCGTTTATTCTGATTATCGCTATACGAGCCTCAAAGCAACTCGCTTGCCAAGCGACCGAAAATCGATTATTTTGCATCCTTTCCTAAAATTTTATTATATATATACTCATTACCAGTAATCATATTTTACAAGTTTACAGAGTCTTATTTTTTATAGAATTTAGCTATATTTTTTTATATCCTATTATTACTTCTTTTCCGTCTATTATATGAAATATAAAATGTTTTACTTTTCTATTAAATTTATTTTACTATTTTACATGTTTTACTTATTTATCTAATACCCGCACGCGTTATTCATTCACGTTAAAAACTTATTTCCGATTCGTACCAAGTTTTGTAAAAACAAGTTTTAATTACAAAAATATTTTCCGTGTTTGGCAAGCGAGATATGAATCTTATGCGAAGAAGCTCTACACATATCAACTATATTTGATATATTTCAAAACAACGGTCGCCCGCCTCTATATTTTTATTCGATATTTGTATCTATATAAAATAATACGACCAGGTAGAGTTCGGAGAGAGAGATAGAGAAAGAGCCGGGATTCCGTTGACGAAGAGGTGAGTCCTTGTGTGAAAAAAATTTGTATACACATATATTATGTGTATATATATATATATATATATATATATATATATATATATATATATATATATATATATACATACATGTATACGCGCGTCTCTCTCTATTTTTAATCTTGCGTTTACGAAATTCTCGCTATGTGGGACGCGTATGACATCACGATGTTTTTGGCCTCGACGCGGCGGCATTCATGGCATGCGGACCACGCGTTTCCATCTAAAAATATCGTGTTTAAAATATTCTCTTTTCGGCTTTGAAGGATCCTAAGATCATACATTAAAGTAAAATACTCCAGGATTCTAGAAAGATTCTAGAAATCGGAAAAATATTACGCGTCTGCTTTGCCTGCAGAATCGTCTCCTAAGTGATTAATACATTTCTCACGATCGTGCGCGTATAACGAACGCATTAATCACATTTCCATCGACGATGCAAAGCAAGCCCCGTTGAATATGAATCAGGTTAAATAGATCCTTTACATTATAAATCGCTCTGTGAAACTGGGTCGTCTGGAGCTGAAGAATCCGCGGTTCCTGTCAGATCGGTTGCCGCTTTAACGGAGAGATCCACTGTTATCCGAGAATTCGAGCATAAAAAAATCCTGAGCGTTCTTTAAAAATCTCCAACTCGGTGAACGACGACCGCCAATCGCGTCAGTTCCTCGAACAAGTCTCGTCGTGACAGAAGCAAATTTGCTTACTCGTCGCTTTATTTAACGCTTAACGATATTTGAACGGCTCGTTAACGACAGCTTAGTAAAAGAAACATTATGCATGAGGTATAATAGAGTCTGAAAAATTGATCGCACGGCCGATAGAGAACCGGTGAGACGAAGTGAAAGATATATGCGTATCGAATTACATTTACCGTATATTCTTAGGCATGTATCAAAGTCGTTATTTGAAACTTGTCTTACATAAGATATTCAGGTCATATTCCGATTTTATTTCAGAGTTAAATCTAAATTTGCCAAGTAAATCATATGATGTATGCGACGTTACATTTGCAGTTGCTATCCCACTGAAAGATTCACATTTAATTCCAAACCTCACACCTGAAAATCTCACTTGAAATAAGTTTCAAGTAACAAATATTAATATGAACCTTGGTAATTTAATCATCAATTAAATTTTTGTACAATCAATGGAAATCAGCCAACGGCTATTCGGTTCATGTTAAACAGACCGAAAATGTGCGAACCATGAATTGTTCGATTTTGCGCTGACCTGGTTTCACGGCGCGATTTACGATGCAAAGGATCTACTTAACTTGACTCATATTCGGAATCTGCTCTACACCGTCGATGGGAATGTGGTTAACGCGTGGTTTGATATGTGCGCGCGATCGCAAGAATAGTATTAGGCATCACCTATATTGATAGTTATTGCTCGAAACTCGTTTCGATCAATATAATAGACCTGATATATTTTTCTTTTGGTTCAACTTACAATAGTCTGAAATAAAGTCCAAGAGAGGGACACGGAGAATTGCCAATTACAGTTACAATTGCCAATTGCCAATTATATTCTAGTAAAGATACAATCGACTGTCGCTCGTCGCGCAAACTTCCCGCAACTTGGCACAAGGCTTTTGAATCAGAGTGGGTAACCTCTTCGGGCTGTGCAATTCTTTTGAAACTATCTCACACGAGATGAGATATAAATGACACATGTATCACGAACTGAAAAACTTGGATCTAACTCTGAATAAAAATCTGAGTATCTAATTTGAGACAAGTTTCAAGTAATGCGTATTAATACGCGTCTTAGGTCCGGTTGCACCAACGTTTTGGCTTTAAGCGAAACTTAAATATGTATCTATCTTTATCTTTCTTTCTAAATAAATAAAGACATACACATATTTATGTTTTACTTAAAGATAAACAATATTGGTGCAATCGGGCCTTAATCATTGAGGATTCAGGTTCAGAAAAATCGGCGTGGCCAACTTTTCCGGGCTCTTTCGTTGCACGTGAGGATCTGCAAAGATAGCATGCGCGGCGAACGACGGGATAAAATTTCAAAATTCTCGGTCTTCCTCGCGTTACTCGTAATTGGAAGTAAATATAAATCTCTGGACATCGGAGATTATAGAATTAGTGGAATTAAGCGTTGAGAAATTGAAAATGTTTAATTAAGGAAACACTGATGTCAAAAAGTTGTGTCGACTAATAATTGGAGCGGCGATTAATCTACGAGTCACCATGTGGAAGTTCTACAAAAATAATAGTATAAAAGATTCGCGATAATGAAAGATGGAAAAACTGGGCATAAAACGTTATATTAAATTAGTAAAGGAAATAGGGATGACGGAAAGTGTTGCGCCGGCTAACAAAGTTGCGGCGGTTGATACTCAAATAATCACGTAATTCGAAATTTATTTTAGAAATTCCGGAAATTTATTTTAGAATTTCACCTTCGAAAGGCATATCGCCGAGAATGCGCTTAATTGTCGTATACTGAATTTAGACGTGGGAAGTTGCTGATTTATTGCTTCAAGTAAGTAAGAAGTTATGTATTTATTACTTCAAATACATATCTTACGAGACACTTCCTTAACATTTTAACAAGAAAAGTCGCGCGTTGCCCACCCTTGGATCGTTCGCGACGATAAAACAACAAAGCTACAAAGGGAATTGTCTTTCAAATTACGGAGAGGACAAGCGACATTGCGTCGTCGGAATGAAATCGTGAGGTAGCTGTATATATACGCGAGATAATCCAGAGCATCCGTTCGCTGTCATCTCTTCGGGAACGATTGGAAATAGGACCACGGGGCTAAAATTTGATATACCGAATCGACACAACTGAAATATCCTTCATCCTACGTCCTCTTAAATATTGGAAAGAATTCTGGAAAGATTTTCGGGAAGAACGGCTGTCACTTTTTTGGAAGTTTCATATGGAAAGATGAATCGAAGAGAATCGACTTTCAACAACAGCCATAATTCGGCAAGAGTAACGAATTCGATATTTACTCGTACATATAATTGGTCGCAACGTCGGCATCGTCGAACGATGCAGGTGCAAAGACGACGGCCCGCAGATTCGCGTAAAGACGTGCATGTTGAGACGTTTCAACATCTATTCTAACTACACCTCCCGCCTTCTTCTTCTTCTTCATTTCTCGCGTATGAAAAAGACACCCTCAAGTAAACCAGCGTATTGATTCGTGGCGTCTACCAGCGGGTGTCTTATTCGTCGAGATACTCAAGTTGGTTGTTAATTTGGACACTCTTAACGGTTGTTAATTTTTTTTTACCCAATGCGCAGTAACGCCCATAAAACTTTTATGCTTAGTTGACCTTAGATATGTCGACAGTTATAGAAATATAATTAATATTGTTAAATATAATTAATGTTGTAAATATTTTAAATGTTTCACAGTGCAATCATAAGCATCATTAATTCGTCTGCTAAGAATACGTTGTGTAGGTATTTCTAAGTCAGAGTTAGTATTTGAAGAAAAAATTAAATTAGTATGTAACAGATATGAAATATGATGTAATTATATAATGTAATATGTAATCTATCTATTCTGTGCTCCACGTTAACTCTAAAGGATTAGGACAAAAACTAACCTGCAAATATTTTTAGAAAATTTGGATTATCAACAGTTGATAGTGGTTTCATACTATCACAATAATATATCGAAAAATATTCATTTCAAGTTTTTTCTGCAGTAATACGTTTTGTCTTCTTGGTTAAAATAATTTCATTTGTTTCAATTTTGAGTTAAAATTATTTTTATCGTTTGTTTGTCTTATGTTTTCTTTTTTCCCTTGGACTTTTTATTTTAGTTTCAATTTTGTGTTGATCATATTCTTCCAAAACGGATTTGTATATACGTTGAAAAAGAAGTTATTTTTATATATTATTTAAATTTTATTCATTATATATATATATAAACTATGGTATAGGCTTATAGGTTATAGTATAGCAAATAATTTAATAATTATCATATTATATTTTAGATTAGGTATTTACCTTCAAATGCATTTTAAAAATACTTGTGGCTCTTAAAGAACCACATAAGACAGTTTTTTTCATTTTGTCGATTCTCTTCAATTTATCTTTGTGAAACTTCCAAAAAAGTGGCAGTCCTCCTTCCTGAAAACCTTTCTAAAACTTTTTTCAATGTTTAAGAGGGTGTAGGATGAAGGATATTTCAGTTGTGTCGATTCGGTGTGTCAAATTTTAGCCCCGTGTTCCTATTTCAAATCGTTCCCGAAGAGATGACAGCAAACGGACGCTCTGGATTATCCCGCGCATATATACAGCTACCTCGCGATTTTATTCCGATGGCGCAATGTCGCTTGTCCTCTCCGTGATTTGAAAACCAATTCCCTTTACAGCTTTGTTGCTTTATTGTCGCGAACGATCCAAGGGTAGGCAACGCGCGATCTTTCTTGTCAAAATGTTAAAGAAGTATCTCGTGAGATATGTATTTGAAATAATACACGTTAATAACTTTCTACGTTTAGATTCAGTACACGGTATACAACAATTAAGCGTATTCTCGGCAATATGCCTTTCGAGGGTAAAATATCCGGAATTTCTAAAATAGATTTCGAATTACTTAATTATTTGAGTATCGACAGCCGCAACTTTATCAGCCGGTGTAACACTTTCCGTCATCCCTATTTCCTTTACTAATTTAATATAACGTTTTATATCCAGATTTTCCATCTTTCATTAACACGATTCTTTTTGTAGAACATATACTTTCAATACTTAATGATTAAGACGCGTATTAATAGGCATTACTTGAAACTTGTCTCAAGTGAGATACTCAGATTTTTATTCAGAGTTAGATCCAAGTTTTTCAGTTGAATTATAACGTCGCATACATCATACGATTTACCTGGCAAATTTAGATCTAACTTTGAAATAAAATCATCTGAATATGATCTGAATATCTCATGTGAGACAAGTTTCAAGTAACGACTATTGATACATGCCTAAGAATATACGATAAATGTAATTCGATGCACATATATCTTTCACTTCATCTCACCGATTCCTTATCGGTCGCACGATCAATTTTCAGACTCCATTAGACCTCATACATAATGTTTCTTCTATTAAGCTGTCGTTAACGAGCCGCTCAAATATCGTTAAGCGTTAAATAAAGCGGCGACTAAGCAAATTTGCGTCTGCCGCGACGAGACTTGTTCGAGGAACTAACGTGATTGGCGGTCGTCGTTCACCGAGTTGGAGATTTTTAAAGAACGCTCAGGATTTTTTCATGCTCGAATTCTCGGATAACAGTGGATCTCTACGTTAAAACGGCAACCGATCTGACAGGAACCGCGGAATCTTCAGCTCCAGACGACCCAGTTTCACAGAGCGATTTATAATGCAAAGGATCTGTTTAACCTGACTCATTCTACGGGGCTTGCTTTGCATCGTCGATGGAAATGTGGTTAACGTGTTTGTTATGCCCGTACGATCGTGAGAATTGTATTAATCACTTAGGAGACGGTTTGGTCGGCGAAGTAGACGCGCAATATTTTTCCGACCTCTCTTTCTGGAAGATGCAATTGCAAAAATATAATTTCATCCTTCGTAGAGTTCTTTGAATCTTAGAGGATTTTATTCTTACGCATAATCTTAGGATCTTTCA